GGACACTGTGCAGACGTACAAGGGGTGGGGGCGGATCGGTTCAGATGTCACTCGCCACTCACGTGGCCATAGCTGCAGCGCGCTAACCACTGCGCCACCGCTCGATTTACTAACCGATTATACACTGGTCAACAAATTCTGGCCTGGACTTTTGCGGCTGTTTTAGACTAATTTCAGGGTGCTGATTCCAAATCTGATCTCAGATTTGCTCTATCACATCTCATTTTTATGCTATCGGCATACCATATTTTCATTGATTTTACCCGAAATTAACTCTGTCACTTATGATTGCAAGTTGTTGCGAGTCAGTGACTGCTTTAGTGTTAAAATATGGTGCTGTATTTTTAGGATAGTGTGTTTATAATATCACTTTATGTAGATATCCACATTTATTTAATATTTTTCTTCTGCAGTTTTTATTGAAAATGCAATATTTGATATCTCAAAAACCTGATGTGATAGACGAAAACTGATGCCAGATTTGGAATCAGCACCCCAAAATTACATTAAACCCGTTGGAATACCTTATGCCAGAAAAAAATCAACCTGTAAAAACTAAGTTTTTTTTTTTTTCACTATAAATCCTTTATATGCGTGGCGGCTAGAGTCCTCTCGTCCTCTGGCTTGAGATAGCTGCCACCTATGGGTCAGATGATTGTCTGCCACCATTAAGCAATTGGTAATTAAATATCAAATTCTTTTTTCCTAAAAAGTGTAAAATTTTGGAAAAAAAATTTGGAAAAAAATTTTACACGAAAATTAATTGTCACGCACAACGAGTCTGTGTGGAAAATGTCAGCTCGATTGGATCACGGGAAGTGGGTTAAAAAACGACCGAAAGATTTGCACGGTTGTAAGCGCGCAAGCAAGCAAGTGAACTTAATATAAAGGATTTAAAAAGTGTGTTGACCAGTGTTATTTAACATTACTCCCAAATCCCAATTCATCACGAGCCACGAAGACACAGATCCCCCCTTATAGCCTGTAACAGACTTTTGGGGCAAGTTCCGTGAGCGTGCACGTGTTTAAAGGCCGGCACTGTGGCACACGAGGGGGTGGGTGGTCAGCACCACGCCCGGCCGCCTTTGTCTCCCCAGTGGCGATTTTTACCCACCGCGCCAGGTACTCATTTGAGGCTTACCTGGTATTTTTTTGTTTATATTCTTAGGTTTTTTCGGTAAAATCACGTAGGTAAAAAAATTAAATTAATAAAAAGTAAAATACTTTTTAAAATTAATACAAAAGTAAAATACTTTTTATTAATTTTAATTTTTTACCTACGTGACTTTACCGGAAAAAAACTAAGAATATGAATCCTTGCAGTCACGAAAGCTTCAAATCTAGAATTTTTTAGTTTAGTTTAATAACTAGCGACAAACACAACGGACCCGTTGCGAAACCCTCTTTTGTGTGGAGAGTCCCGAAGAAAAATTGCCACCTTACCCCCCCCCCCCCCATCCATCCACTGTTGGTGACCCTGGTGTCCACGTGGTTATTTTTGTTGCACAACACCTCACCACCTTGCTCAGTGGTGCGGCTGCGGTGAAGTTGGCGGGAAATGCCCAGGACCGCAATTCTCTACGTCAGGGCGTGGCAGGGAATCGAACTTGGGTCCAAGGGTGCAGTGCGCTAATCAACCCCAGCGAACAGCTTTCCAAATGTTCTCCACCCTCTTCTTGGTTCTTTCGGTAAAGTCACGTAGAAGGGAAGTAATAAAATAATAAAAATAAAACATAATAAAATAATTCTCACGACGTTTCGGCCACAACGCAAGCACAGCCGTCTTCAGGTGAAAACCAGGTCTGTCGAGGCGACAGCGTCTGAATGAAACAGCACCATGCTTGGAGCATATATTTAAGCTGGGTTGGAAGGGGGGGAAAGGGGCGCCTTGACAAAAGAATTTGCATATCAAGAGGACTCGATTAGCTGAGCCTTCTTATCACGGAGCTTGTTGAAGGATCTCAAAGTTATGTGGAATCCCTCCCCGTAGAGGCGGTTAAATTTCGATTTAAAGCTTTCGTGACTGCAGGGATTCATCTTCTTGGTTCTTTCGGTAAAATCAAGTAGAAGGGAAGTAATAAAATAATAAAAATAAAACATAGAATAATTCTCACGACGTTTCGGCCACAACGCAAGCAGCCATCTGTCGGGGAGACAGCTGTCTCCCCGACAGACCTGGTCTTCACCTGAGGACGGCTGCTTGCGTTGTGGCCGAAACGTCGTGAGAATTCTATTATGTTTTATTTTTATTATTTTATTACTTCCCTTCTACGTGACTTTACCGAAAGAACCAAGACGATGAATCCCTGCAGTCACGAAAGCTTCAAATTGAAAATTCTCCACCCTGCTCGTTTTTCTGTCAGTTTTGATCCCGATCAGCCTTCTTCAATACTTTGTGAAGGTTTTCATAGTCTTGCTGAGAGTTTGATTTTTATCCACTCGCCGTTTCATTCGGCCGAGTCCACACCGTAGAGACCAGTTGCGCAACTCGGTTGCACGCGTCCGAAATGTGGGCGTCTCTGCAACCAGTTGCACAACCTGCCACTTAAAGAAAATGCCAGATTGGAGATTGAAGCGATTTTTTTTGTCACGTATTTGATTCATCACGATATCGATCGCTACAATCCTGAATACGGCTGTTGAATATCCTGCAGTCGTCAAAGAGGCAGTTACATTTCTAAGACATGTGAGTTGCAAAAACAGAACTGGGGAGAGGAGGCCATCAGGCGATTGGCAGAGTTATTGCAAGAGGAGGACAAGATATTTTTTGGGAAATTTATTGACGAATCACACACGCGTAGCAGAACGATTACAGGTGAGACAACTATAACGTGGTACGCGTGTGCAGGATTGGGGGGGGGAGGGCTGAGAGCCGATTGCCAAGACGCCGGCATTGGGAGCGGTGACTACGAGTTTGGTGCCTACAGGGAAGAGGAAACCTCAGAGTGGACACTGGGAGACTGCCAGGGCAGATCTGTGGGTTTCTGTGCGAGTCTGTGGGTGTCTGTGTGAGCCTGCGAGTCTCTGTGCGAGTCTGTGGGTCTCTGTGTGAGTCTGTGGGTTTCTGTGCGAGTCTGTGGGTCTATGTGTGAGTCTGTGGGTTTCTGTGGGAATCTGTGGATCTATGTGTGAGTCTGTGGGTTTCTGTGCGAGTCTGTGGGTCTCTGTGTGAGACTGTGGGTTTCTGTGCGAGTCTGTGGGTCTATGTGTGAGTCTGTGGGTTTCTGTGCGAGTCTGTGGGTCTATGTGTGAGTCTGTGGGTTTCTGTGCGAGTCTGTGGATTTTTGTGGGAGTCTGTCGGTCTCTGTGTGAGTCTGTGGGTTTCTGTGCGAGTCTGTGGGTCTCTGTGTGAGTCTGTGGGTTTCTGTGCGACTCTGTGGGTTTCTGTGTGAGCCTGTAGGTCTCTGCGTGAGTCTGTGGGTTTCTGTGCGAGTCTGTGGGTCTCTGTGTGAGTCTGTGGGTTTCTGTCAGAGTCTGTGGGTCTCTGTGTGAGTATGTGGGTTTCTTTGGGAGTCTGTTGGTTTCTGTGTGAGTCTGTGGGTTTATGTACGAGTCTGTGGGTTTATGTGTGAGTCTGTGGGTTTATGTGCGAGTCTGTGGGTCTCTGTGTGAGTCTGCGCGAGTCTGTGGGTATCTGTGCGAGTCTGTGGGTCTATGTGTGAGTCTGTGGGTTTCTGCGCGAGTCTGTGGGTCTCTGTGTGAGTCTGTGGGTCTCCGTGTGAGTCTGTGGGGTTCTGTGCGAGTCTGTGGGTCTCTGTGTGAGTCTGTGGGTTTCTGTGCGAGTCTGTAGGTCTCTGCGTGAGTCTGTGGATTTCTGTGGGAGTCTGTGGGTCTATGTGTGAGTCTGTGGAACTCTGTATGAGTGTATATAACATCAGATGTTGGGAGACTGTTATGTCAGAGCTATGGGTCTCTGTGTGAGTCTGTGGGGCTTTGTGAGTGTACTTAAGAGCAGATGGTGGACGAGTATCAGGGCTGATCTTGGAGGTCGCTGTGTGTCTCTACTGCGCAGCAGCTACAGGATCTAGCGGAGGGTAGATAACATTGACGATGAGGTGCGGTGGTGGATTCAGCAGTTTTGGCCATGATGACATCTTGATAATGATTAACAGTATCGTGGCCAAGTGGTTATTCACGTTGAAAAGAAGTGACAGCACCAAAAGAGTCGATCACCTGCGCACACTTCCAAAGGCAAAAAAACCTGCTGTAATCACGGGTGGGAGGTTCAAACCCAAATTTGAGCTCGAGATCTCTCAGGCTGTGCCGGGTGAGCGTCTCTGACCACCGAGTCTCCGCGCCACCACCCTACCACCTCAGGTCTCAAGCAACAAACTTTCCGAACGCAATGCTCCATAGCAATCAACACCCGAGCAGAACTCTGGTGTATTGAAACGTCAACCTGAAAACACCTGTGTAGGCAGAGTCAACTATCTCAAATGTAACTGAACAGCCATTGAACTCCATGGGTGGTACACGCATGCACAAACAAGGAGGGAGTGTAAGGTGAGCAACTCGGTCAGGTTTCGGAACATAACGTGGCAAGATAAGGGACCGTTTCAGACATCGCTCACGGCTGATGTTAACCTCGGGAGAAATCCAAACCCAGGTTGAGTCACTACGCCGCCACACGTCGTGCATACGAATCGTAGCTCATCCGTCCTTACGCTCACAAGACACCGCAACGTATCCACAGCGTAAAGATGAGTTTTGCTCAACTGACCAACATTGACACACTGAATTTGAAGCTTTCGTGACTGCAAGGATTCATATTCTTAGGTTTTTTCGGTAAAGTCACGTAGGTAAAAAATTTAAAATAATAAAAGTAAAATAAAATAAAAATCACGACGTTTCGGAGGCAACACAAGCCTCCGTCTTCAGGTGGAACCGTCACAGCACGATTGCCGATACGGCACGATTGCCTGATACAGCAATCGTGCTGTGACGGTTCCACCTGAAGACGGAGGCTTGTGTTGCCTCCGAAACGTCGTGATTTTTATTTTATTTTACTTTTATTATTTTTAATTTAAATTTTTTACCTACGTGACTTTACCGAAAAAACCTAAGAACATTGACACACTGGTCGCTCCCTCAAGCTAGACCAACGCGTGGCAGGTTGTTCACATCTCGGGAAAGAACTTGCTGATGCTGTTGCTGTCATTGCTGCCCTTGTTGCTCTTGCCCTTGCCGCTGTTGATGGATGCAACCACCTTCCTGATGAGCTCCTCCTTCCTGTCGGCCGAGCGAGCGGCAACCCCACGGCCCTTGAGCCATGAGAGCAGCGTCACGGCGTTCACCTTGCTCAGCTACGCGCGGGTGGGGGGAGAGAGACGGGTGATCACGGTGGTGATGGCGGCGGCGGCGGTGGCGGTCACAGCATTGTTGGCAGTGGTGACGGCGGTAGCGGTGTTGACAATGACCGTGGTGATAGTGGTAAGGATGATGACCGAGTGAGTGTGCGAGCGAGTGACCTAGTGAGTGTCTGAGGGAGTGACCGAGTGCATGAGTTGAGTGATCACCATACCTGGTCACTACTTGCCATCTCCTCCACGTTGACTTGTTGTACAGTCGGCTTGGGGCGAGATTTCTTAGGCTTGGCTTCTGTATCTTGCACCTGGCTCGCAAACACGCAGACCCCGCACACATAATTGCGCTCGCTCACTCGGTGTGGTGTATCGCCGCATCAACGTTAGCCTCCTTGGAGGCCGACACTTCAGCTAAGTGGAAACTATAACATCCAAAACGGTTCTTTTGGAACTTTTTTTTGCCAGTATCTAGATTATGGTAGAAAAAATAACAGGCAAGTGTAGGTGTCTATTTGGTGTCTGTATGTATGTTGGACTTCTTTAGCAATGTACGTAGCCAACCGTGCTAATGGGAGGTGCTGGAGAAGGACAACAAACTGAACACTAAAATCAATTCTCTAGAAATGAGTTTGAACATCTGCCGAAAAGGGTAAAGTCTATTTTTTATTTTTTTGCTCCTTTGGGAATTGTCGAGAAATTAGTTCAAACGCTTTTGGTGAAAGTATAGCGTGAACGCTGTTTGTGGCGGCACACAACCTGCGATCCGCAGCTTTTTCAGGCTGGGGTTGGTGGACCACGTCGTGTTCGCCGACAACTAAAACCGGCGAAACACAGCCCTCGGCAGAGGTCGCAAACGGGTTTTGATTCCTTACCCGTAGCCGTACCCGGCCGCACCAGGGTCGCAAACGGCGACCCGTACCCGTACCCGGCCGGGTACGGGTACCCGTTCCCTACCCATACCCTACCCGAAATGAGTGACAAACGGTGACTCACCAGTGACTCACGGCCTACCCGTACCCGTACCCGGCCGCACCAGGGTCGCAAACGGGTACCCGTACCCGTACCCGGCCGGGTACGGGTAGCCGGGTATCGGGTAGGGTACAGGTATCGGGTACCCGATTGCGACCTCTGGCTGTCGGCAACACATGCGACTAACACCCCGCTCACTTGCGCCAGCGCTTTCCTCTTCACCGCGGCGGTAGAGCAGTCGGCCGGTGCGACTTTGGGCTTTGTAAGTGTTGAGAGTTTGGGGGGGAGCCCACGACCAGATGCCCCTCCGACAGGGAGCAACCCCAGCCTCTGCCAGGCGGCGGGGCCGACTGCGTCGCGAGTTGGGACGGTCTCGTCGGGAGAGGCGGTCGTGGTGGCGGTGAAGGAGGGCGGCAGAGGGCGACTCGCGGGGATTGGTTTCGTCGTCACCACAGCGTTGGCTGGGGAAGTCGCCCCCCCCTGTTGCCTCGTTGGTTTGTCTGGCATGGTCGGGACGGTCCTGTTCACGGGCTGTACCAACACAAGAGTGGGGGCGGGGTGGGGCATGTGACAGCGTTCGTTAGCGTATGGGCGGGTGTCATAGGCGGTGGGTGGTTACATGCAACAGGGCTTAGTTCCTGCCTCAAACATAGTTATAATAAAATAGCTGTAATCACAGTCCCTTTATATCAATCCACATCTGTGTGAGGGTCTCTATCATACCGTGTCGGGCATAGGGGTTGTTTGTTAGCATATGGGCGGGTGTCATAGGCGGTGGGTGGTTACATGCAACAGGGCTTAGCTCCTGCCTCAAACATATTTATAATAAAATAATTGTAATCACAGTCCCTTTATATCAATCCACTTCTGTGTGAGGGTCTCTATCATACCTTGTCGGGCATAGGGGTTGTTTGTTAGCGTATGGGCGGGTGTCATAGGCGGTGGGTGGTTACATGCAACAGGGCTTAGCTCCTGCCTCAAACATATTTATAATAAAATAATTGTAATCACAGTCCCTTTATATCAATCCACATCTGTGTGAGGGTCTCTATCATAGCGTGTCGGGCATAGGGGTTGTTTGTTAGCGTATGGGCGGGTGTCATAGGCGGTGGGTGGTTACATTCAACAGGGCTTAGCTCCTGCCTCAAACATATTTATAATAAAATAATTGTAATTACAGTCCCTTTATATCAATCCACATCTGTGTGAGGGTCTCTATAATAGCGTGTCGGGCATAGGGGTTGTTAGGCCGTACTTCACCATGCGGGTTAGTGCAGGTCGGTAAAGTGGGGGAAGAACCAAACCTGTGTGGAGACGGTACTCGCCACTGATTTTATCTGCGGCCTGAAATCAAACCCGGGAAAGAAACAGATTGATAGCGCAACGCGTCACCCAACTACTCCACTACCAATCCCAGAGTCCGCCGTAGACTACCGCAATTGGTGAACCCGCTCCCTTGCGTGCTGCGCCAGTCAGCCACGAACTTCTGACAGCGCTAACCGTGCGCTCCCTCCTTCACCAGCTTCCTCACCTGCTTTTTGACTTTCGAGAACGTGGGGACAAACAATTTTGGTTTTTCCACTCGTCCGCTACTTTCTCCACCCTCACCGCCTCCATCGCCACCGCCACAACCGGCACCGCCGCCACCACTTCCACCGTCCTTCCCAGACAACACGTGCTGCATGAAGTTCATCCTCTTTGGTGGCTCCGACCTGCCCGCAGGACGCTGGCTCGTCTTGAAACCGCCCTTGAAGATCGGTAGGAATGCGTCGCCCGCATTCGCGCCGAACACTGGCAGTCCGAGCAGCGTGCGCGGTTTGTCCAACAGACTTGGCGGCTGCGTGGCGCTCATAATGGCCGACCCTGAGCCCGGCTGCCACATCCTCGGCTTGCCTAACTGCCCCTGAGAAGATGATGCCACCCACCCATTTTGTGGCTTGGGCCTCTGCTGCAATGGTGACGACGATGATGATGTTGATGATGATGTTAAAGATGATGATGATGTTCTTGTAAGCTTAGCAGCAACATCATCGGATTGCGGCTTTTGCTGTGCTGTGGTTATGCTACGGTTCTGCTGCGAGTGAGGGGATGTGGAAACTGGAGAGCTTATATTTGCAAACATTTTGGCAAACTCGCAGAGATTTAGGTTTAACGGGATGGACGACTGCTGCAATTGGGAAGAGAAGAAGCGGGGAGTACTGTTGTAGGAAGGAGGAGGATTACTTGACAGATTCACCGGCTGAGAGCTGTGAGTCTCCTGTAAAGAATAAACAAAAACAACCTCACACACACAGAACGGGTCAAGACGTGAGTAGATGACAAGGTGACGTCCAAATCATCGCAGGGTGCCCATGAACCCTAACGCCTGGCACTGTATAGGCCTGAACCACACTTAGATACCAAGTGCGGCCAGCGTATTTGGGTTTGTGGCATGACTCGACAAATAGCAAGTACCGGATTATCCCAGGAGCAAAAGTAGCTACATATGCTACGAGCCCCGCACTCTCAAGGGCCCCGCGTTAAATGCTTTCAAGCTATAAATTCCGGTTCAGTGATTCTGAACTTGCTCTATTACTATAGTACTATGCTGCCTTCAATTTTTATGAACGACCGGGTGTTTAAGGTTCGCGATTTGTCGTATTATCTGCCTGTATAGAAAATAAAAAAATGCAATTACTTTACTATGCAAGACAATAAATTGTGTTTTAATATTTGTGTTTTTTTTTTACTTAGGGCCTCTTTATAACATATGCTACAGGCCCCGCACTAGCTTAATCCGGCACTGCAAATAGCCTGTGGAAATTTGCCGGTACCTCGAGGGGCGTTCCCTGAGCTGGCTCAGTTAGGACGTGCCAGCGGGAGGAAACTAAGGGAGTCTGTTTCTCACCCGCAGCCGCACGGAGGAGAGCTCGGGCGTGCAGTAAAGGGGCGAGGAGGTCAGGCGCATGGGGAAGCCACACATCGCCGGCAGGCGGTTGTGCAGGTCGCCCAGGAAGGTGTTCAGCACGCCGCCGTGATCGCCGCGGCCCACAAACTGCACCGCATCACTGCGCAGGGACCACAGCGGGTAGCTGTGCGGGAGAGAGGAGGGAAGAGGAGCACGGCACCTAGGTCTGTTCCGTGATCTCCTGCCAGAAGGCCCTAACGACACTTGACGTGGGGTCAGATTGCACGCCAGCATGGCACAGGTGCCGCGGTGACGTCGCCGCCTTAGTGGTGAACGGCGGTTGTTGTTGTTGGTGTTGTTGTTGTTGGTGATCACGGCATGGCCCAGCGGTAGCGTGTTCGCCCTTCGTTGCAGAGGTTCGTGGTTCAAATAGGGAAGATCGCCCTGGTAAATACTGCGGGTGTATTCATGATAACTTCTACACGCCATCTGCTTCACTGTGGACGTTAAAGATCCTGTGGTCTCATTCGAAAGGAGTATGACAATGGGTGATGGCGTCACGGTACAAATTTGTCCATTTTAAAAAGTTATCTGCAAATTATTCAATTGGGATTACACATAGCAATCACCGCTGCCCCCACCCCCCCACCCCTACTGGCAGACATGCCGCACAGGGACAGCTGCCACTGGGGGTGTTCTTGGAATGTTTGAGGTGAGATATCATGTAAGGAGCTTTGAGTTGCAGTGCTATTTAAGCGCCATAAAAATGCAAAGCTTACTATGATTATTATGATCATCTTCATGAATTTCGTCGTCACCATCTAATCTCGCGTCATTGCATTTCATTCTTCTCGAACCACTCATATCCACCGATGTTAGCCATGGCCGGGAATCCATCTCACATCGTTGAGTTCACAGTGCAGCACGTGAACCACTGCACGCCAGCTCCTTTTCAAACAACCATAACAAGTAAAGGTGTAGCCCTGCCATTGCTTGCTCACGCCGCTGCTACCATACGAGCCTCCGTGGGAGGGAGCTCAAAAAGTTTTGGAATCGTATTTTTCGTCTTACCTGAAGAGCCGTTCTCCAAGGAGTTTGAAGTTGATGTGGCAATAAATGGTCCGGTCCTGCTCTTCTTGCGGCAGGCGGTAGCCGTGCTATTCCAGTAAAACACAGGTGTGACACACACACGCACACACCAGGTGTGACACACAAAGACAAAGAACCCCCGTATAGCCTTAACAGACTGTTAGGCCAAGTGCTGTTAGCGAGTGGCACCTATGAAGGCTAGCACGGCGCACGAGGGAATGAGTGGCCAGCACCACGCTTAGCCATCTTTGTTTTCTCAGTGGCGATATTTACACACCACACCAGGTACTCGTTTAAAGTAGATCGACCTAGGGGAGGCCCAGGACCGATTCAGATAATCGTCACTGATGGTGGCTGTGAGCGGGAATCGAACTCGGGTCGCCGGGTTTGTAACGCAGCGCGCTAACCGTTGCACGACTGCTCCCCTTAGGCGAGACACAGAGACTCACCTCCCAGCTCACCAACAACTAGAACCCAAAATACTTTCAAAGAACCAAAACATTTTCAAGGAGGTGTTTTTGATCATTGTTTCTTTCATGTGACAATAGAGTGCCAGGCAAAGGAGGGAAACACGGATGATAGGGCGGCCACCACATCACTAATTTCGTTGAGAAAACACTGCCAAAGACTCTCACTTGATACAGTAAATTTAGCTGTGACGGCCCCACCTGATGACGGAGACTTGTGTTGCCTTCTAAACGTCGTGATTTAAGATTTTATTTACATTAATATTTTTTTTTACCTACGTGACTTTACCGAAAAAACCTAAGAGTATACTGCCAAAGAAGTACCATATTTTTCCAGTGCTTGCGCAGGTCATTGTAGGATTGTAGAGAACTCTTGGGCAGGAGTGCGTGAGTGACTGACACAATCTCGCCTTTCTTCATGCTGAAAGGAGGCACAAACACAAAAGTTGTTTTTTAAAAAATCACCCCAAAACGTATTTCAATCATGCCATCGGCGTCATGTCACAAGACGAAAAATCCCTTTATAAAATATCACTCACCATTGATGCGGGTCATGGCCAGGAATCAAACTCAGGTTGCTAGGTCCTAGGTTGCTAGTGCAATGTGTTAACCACAGCTCCACCCACATTTATGAACACACTTTAATTAACCAGGCGTCTTTTTTCATATGGCATGTGGTAGAGATAAGCAAGTGATTTTTTTATACGGTTACAAATGTTACAAATTTTCTGTCTAGCTGCTTTAGTCATTCAACAGTGTTGGTTGTCAGTTGATGAATTGCTTTGGTGCCACCGTTCAATAGCCAGAGACTTATAAGTTCCTATTCATCCAGCCATACCCAAGAGGACATCAAATGACGATGATAATGGTGATGACTGGATCCCCAACGCATACACACCTTGGCAGAACATAGCACCAGCGGCTGAAGATAGAGGCAGGAGATATGGTTGCAAAGTCTGATGCCAGGAACCTCTGAATGACCGCAGTGGAGATGTCAAAATCCTCTAGCTTGCAGAGGTGAGAAAGCAAGAAATGTACCATCATCATCGTCTTCAGCTTCATCATCAAAGTAAAACCTAGGTTTCCGTTGCCAATATAATGATGCATATTGTTGTTGGGTTTGGTCACGTGGTAATTTCATGCCAAAATCCTAGTCATTTACCCTCCACCACCACACACGCTTGTCATATTCACAGACTTATTTTATGTGCCAATCGTTATTGATAGAATTCTGATCAATATATTTGCTCACCGGTGGCTTAGTACTTTTCGTGACTGATTTAAACATCAACATATGATTACGTTTCGCTCAAAGCACTTTCAGCTTTTTCAGGTAGTGAGCTCGGAAATCTAGTGGAAGGCGTACTGTGTGTTCACCAATAATCAGGTTCGTGAAGCATGTATCTTCTTAACCTTTGTTTGAATGGTGTAAAGACCAATAAAATGTGGTACACTATATGTTTGATTTTCTCAGTTAAATTGGATAGTAATGTCCAAAGAGACTGAATAAAACTTGCTTTCAAATTGCCGCCTGTAAATTCCTCTATCCTGCATGCAAGACAGGAAATTTAAACATTTAATAGTCCCTATGATCAGAACATTTCTCCAGAGACTCTGAAATGTTATTGAAATATTAATTGGGCCCAGAAATGCATTATTAAGTGGATTATGTAAGAAATAATCTGGTGACTCTGTGTTGGCACAATTAGCTCAACGTATTCATCAATAACACTGCCTTACAAAGCAAACTAAGATTTCTATAATATGCAACATTTTGGGCAACGACCCTTTTTCACCGCACATAGGGAGGTCAGAGGGGTAGAGTGTATTATGGTTTTATTGAGCTCAATTCAATATAGTTACCCATAATAAAATGTGGCAGCAACATTTTGAAATGTAACTTTTAATAGACGTTAGTTTATTTCGCAATATATTTTTGACCGTTGAAGGGTTTGTCTGTTACTCCAGAGCTACTGTTCGTGTAACTGTTCATACGCCAATTTAAAAACTGTTCATCGGGAAACATTTTCAACATTTATTTATCATGCAGTCTCCAACTCTTATATTCACTCTGTTTATACGGGCTCTCTGTGTCCTATGAAGAAGAGCCATTTCACAATTCTACACCTATTACATTTTTTTTACTATTTTTATTTTAGCAGGTAATGTCCACTGAGCTATGTATCTCTTTTTCAGAAGCAACCTGGCCACAAGTGATAGCCTAATGAAGTGGCTTATCATGTGGAAATGAATAGCAGCCACATACTCTCAAAGCATGTTTCTAAATGCAGGGGGGCAAAAACCGAAAAACCCAGGAAAAAATGCACACGACCATGGGGAGAACATGCAAACTCCTAATATACAGGCATCAGGGTCGGGATCGAGCCCACGACCTCCTGTATACAAGGCAAGGTAGTAGACGAATGTGCTGTTTTGTTTTGGGTGGGGGGAATATTGGTAAACATGGAAAAGTGGACCGTGGTGGGTTATTGCAAGGACTGGTTACCGCGGGAGGAGGAAGCCGGACTGTGAATACGTCAATGGCGATGCACACCTGTTTGTCAGTCACATTCACCTGCAGACCTGGCCAAGACAATCGGATATTACCAGGACAACAATGCTTTGCGATTGTGTTGTGTATGTTTTTATACGGTTTTGCGTAAAACTAGGAACCCATTCCTTACTGTAACAGTCCTTGCCTGGCTCTGTTTATTCAACAATGAATGTCAAAACTCGTCTCCAGAGTTTGCTTGTGATGAAACAATTTGCTGATGAGCATAAGATTTCCTGCGGCTCCATGGGTTGTTTAAAAAACACTTTTGGTATGTGAAGAGACTAATATGGGGAGAATGCATTTTTTTATAGGTATACCGTAACATGTATTGGGTTTCGAGTTCGGGCTTAATTTCTCACAGAGTAAAATTTCGATGTCTCTCCGACAGACCTGTTCTTCACCTGAGGACGGCTGTTTGCGTTGTGGCCGAAACGTCGTGAGAATTGTATTTTATAATGTTTTATTTTCATTATTTTTTTTATTTCCCTTCTACGTAACTTTACCAAAAAAACCAAGAAGATTCTCACAGGGTGTTTTCTGGGTCGCTGATAGACTCGAGTGGATGGCACGAGGCGAGTAGCCACAGCCATAACAAGAGGTGTACTGGATGTGGTGTGTCCAGATTAAATTAAGCCTTGGGTTGATATGTGAATTTAAAATTCAAAGGGGTTTCCCACTTAGAGGTGGCCGAATGGCTCAGACACTAAGCTGGCAAACACTGAGATCCTGGGTCTGAATCTGGATTTCAGCCACCTATGAATAAACAGGGTTCTCAAGTGTAGCTCGTTGCTTGTGTCAGCTTCGACATGATTGACTGCACACAAAAGAAACCCCTATCAAATAAAGTGTACTTCATGAATCGCTCATATTTATGAACCCAGTTTCTCTCCGACTTACCCACAGCGTTTTGTTTGCACGTCTTCATCATGAAGTCCCTCCCTGTTGTGGCACAATTACCGACACACGTGGAGATTAATACTCTTTACAAAAACTACGTGAAGACAATGTTATGGGTTTGACACGCAGGCTCAAAAGTTTGGAAATGCTGAGGTACTAGTCCTAGTCTGGGACCCGTAACTAAGCCCCCCACCCATTGTACTTTTATGATCACCATCACCACCACCATCATTCATTCACCACAATCAGCACCATCCCCATCTTGTCATTATATTAATCATTATCATTCAGTCACCGTAATCAGTATCACGACTACTGCCACGATCACCACCATCATTATCATCAATTCTCGATATCACCCTGGACTTTATATTTTCACTCGACAACCGAAACCTCAACGCATTGAAGACATGCAACCACCATATCAGGGCCTCATGGCACATCCACTCAATGTTGACCACGGACACAGCAAACACTCTGGCTTGTAGCATCGTCAGCATTCGCCTTGATTATTGCATCACCATTCTTACCTCAACGTCAACGCCACCTTACCTCACTTCTTCAGCGGCTTCAAAATGTCTTCAGGCGTTGTCCTGGGCATTAGGCGCGGCCATATGGATTTTCTAAAAATGTTGCACCAGCTCCAACCTTTCTCAATCCACTGGCCTCAGAAAACCCCTTCGTGCTACGGAGCACGTCCAACTATCTCATCATCATACCCAGAACCAAGAGCGTATAGGTATCCCTCGACTTACGAACGTTCGGTTTACGAAATTTCCGTGTAAACAAAATTGAACACGGCACCCGACATGAGGTCAAACAAGAAGCAACCGGGAGGCTGTGTCATCCATCCAAGACAGCGTCACAGTTTCCCTGCAGTGCAACAGTAACGCCTCCACATCACCTACGTACAAATCTTTTGGTGAGTTCCCTGAAAAGATTATTTTTTTTTCAATTAATTATTATTCAATCGTTTTCATATTTGTTCTTTATTATTTTTGAATTTTGAAACGTGATATTGGTGTATATTCTTAGGTTATGGAATGACTGTCCGAAACACATCCCTAATTGTCTGCGATACATTAAATTTCCGTGTCAACAAAATTGAACACGGCACCCGACATGAGGTCAAACAAGAAGCACCCGGAGGGCTGCGTCATCCATCCACGACAGCGTCACAGTTTCCCTGCAGTGCAACAGTAACGCCTCCACATCACCTTACCAGTCATTCCTACCTGCAAATCTTTTGGTGAGTTCCCTGAAAAGATTAATTATTTTTCTTTTCAATTAATTATTATTCAATCGTTTTCATATTTATGTTCTTTATTATTTTTGAATTGTGAAACGTGATATTGGTGCATATTCTTAGGTTATGGAATGACTGTCCGAAACACATCCCTAATTGTCTGCGTTACATTAATGGTAAAAACCATTTGGTTTTTACGACATTTCGTTTTACGCGCTTTTTTTGCTAAGAACGCATCCCTTTTGTAAATCGAGGGACACCCGTACTGGCTGATTGGCGTTTGACCATCTTCACCACTACCAGCACCGTCGTCGCGTCTGACCTTGTACAAGGACGTCTCCGACTTTGTTCCACCCTGGCGCTAGTCTAGCGATGAGCGTGTAGGTGAGACACATCTGCACCTCGGCCGGCATAGCTCTTTGAACATCCTGTACCTGCATCACACAATAAATACATGTGTAGTGACATCGCAGGATGTCACTGTACAGTGCCAGCCCTAGAGAGGCACGGTGTGCGATGTAGCGACATCGCGGATACCGCTATGGTGTGGGTTTTGTACCGGCCCTAGAAGGGCTCGGTCAGCGCTCATTGATAGCGCTGGATGCCATCACGCTTGGCGTGCAGTGACAGCCCTACAGGATTGGGTGTGGGAGTGCCGGCCGTAGGGGTTACTAAAGGCTCTGGTTGACACGAGAGGACACGTGACCGGTTAAGTCTACAAAGGGGCCCCAAGTGAGGGCTAGGGGTGGTCACGTGGTCTGGGTCCAGATCTGTCTCAAGGATTCTGTAAGGTGGTCGTGGCCAAGGGCAGAGCCAGCCGCGCCGCAGAGAATATAAACCGGGTCCCCAGGTGGGACCGGGGTTGTTGTTGTTCATCCTGAAGAAGCCTTTGTCTACGTCATCGTTCTACGAGTCTCCAACACGTGGACCTGGACCCGAGCTGTGGTCCGGTCCGTAGTAGCTAGCTACATTGTAATTAGTGTAGTTAGCCTGGTGGTCATCACCATTGGTTGTTATTCTGTTAAGGGGCAGTTATCCCGTGTGTTGGTGTTAAATAAATGTGTTGCCTCCAAGAGTACGTCTGCAGCTCAGTTGAACCTACTCGACATATCTATGTTAGGGATCGGTTTCAGACCTAAATATGTATGGTTTTCAGATGTTTAAGCACAATTTCGTATGTTGTTTGGCATTTTTGCATCAGTAAAATGTAAACATTTAGCCTGGTCTTCGTGCTAACAATAGTTATGTCACCCGATTTTACGTGACACCACTTCTGGCGGGAAACATGTTGAAGTGACAGGTGATGTCATTTTCTGTGACATACTTTCGTATTAATCCAAAACATAAGTTTTGTTGAATTATCCTCAAGTTTGTAACCTCGGCCCGATTTGTGGGATATTTTTTCTCTCGGAATACTGTATTCTTAAAATGAATGTCACATTCCTTATACTTACACACAGAAAAAAAATGCAAATATCCCTAAAAGCCTAAAGCAAACTGTTGGCGCAAGTGTGATGAGTGAGCACCTATGAAGGCCGGAAGAGCACACAAGGAGTTGGTGTGGCACGCACCATGCCGAGTCACACTGCACCAGGTACTCATCTAAGCCCGAGTCGACGTAACCAATGATTTTAGCCGTGGCCAGGAATAGAATTCAGCTCGCCGGATTCATAGTGCAGTGCGCTAACTGCTACACCACCGCTACCCACACATACACCAGAATATATCTCACCTTCGCCTTGACGCGTTGCACGAATCCCTGGATTTTTCCAGACTTTAGGAAACTTATCTGACGGAAAAAAAACAACAATCATTTTAAAAAATCAAACACCCAATGCTGTTCTGCACTGCCCTCTGCTGCTCACAATGCATTCCCCACATTAAAATTCTATATAAAACTAAACTTTTTATTTTACCAGGTAAGGTCCACTGAGCTTTTTAGCTCTTTTTCATAAGCGACATGACCACAATTGATAGCCTAATGAAGTGGCTTATCACGTGAAAATGTATGTCGGCCAAATACTCTAAATGCACGTTGATTCTAAATGTGGAGGGAAACAGCAGAGGAGCCAGAGAAAAATCCACGCGACCACATGCAAACTCCATATATACAGGCATCAGGGTCGGGATCGAACCCACGACTTCCGGTATACCAGGCGAAGTAGTTAACATCTCGCTACCACGGCGCCCTAAAATATGGTTATAAAGTTTTTAGAATTACTGGGTCCGAAAGTCATGCACTGGTAATCACTTAATGTGGAAACAACAGCCCGAATATAAAATCAGACTGTACGGTTGTACGTTGCTGTGTGCTGTGAGGATGTTGTCCACTTACGGATGTAACGATGATGATATTTTTTGTTGTGTTAAGCAGCGGGGCTGAAAGTACCTCTGGGTTGAGAAACAGCAGCTCCCTAAGCAACACAAGACAAACCGGGTCTCGCTTGCAAGAACAGACATGGTTTCCAATGAGTTCTCAGTAAGTTCCGATATCTTATTCTTGGTTCTTTCGGTAAAGTCACGTAGAAGGGAAATAATAAAATAATAAAAATAAAACATAATAAAATAATTCTCACGACGTTTCGGCCACAACGCAAGCAGCCGTCCTCAGGTGAAGAACAGGTCTGTCGGAAAGACAGCGTCTGACGCTATTATTTTATTATGTTTAATTTTTATTATTTTATTATTTCCCTTCTACGTGACTTTACCGAAAGAACCAAGAAGATGAATCCCTGCAGTCACGAAAGCTTTAAATCGAAATTTAAGTTCCGATATGTGAATGATTAATTAATTAATCAATACATTTGGTATATGCGCCATTCTTATAGCACAAATGCTATCATGAAGGCGCTAAGGCTGTGCTTTGTTGGCTTTACGGTACATTTTCGCCTTGAGACGGCTACAGAGCTGGTTGACAGTTAACAACAAATCATGCATGATCACCAACAATGTGATGAATTAGATGGAGATTGGAACTCCAGACACCGCTTGTAAAAGGTAATTATCGAACGCCCCAAGTGATTTTCTGCTCAAACAAACATTGAGGTGGCAGTCATCTCCTGTTTACAATCCTGAGCCGGTGAAGAAAATTCCACATTCATGAGACAAATACATTCACTTCTTTTCACTTCCCAAAAACCCATTACTAATTTTATCTACCCCGGGAGGAATGATAGGCTATCAACTTCTTGGTTCTTTCAGTAAAGTCACGTAGAAGGGAAATAATAAAATAAAATAAAAATAATAAAATAATTCTCACGACGTTTCGGCCACAATGCAAGCAGCCGTCCTCAGGTGAAGAACAGGTCTGTCGGAAAGACAGCGTCTGATTGACGCTGTCTCATTCAGACGCTGTCTCATTCAGACGCTGTCTCATTCAGACGCTGTCTCATTCAGATGCTGTCTCATTCAGACGCTGTCTTTCCGACAGACCTGTTCTTCACCTGAGGACGGCTGCTTGCGTTGTGGCCGAAACGTCGTGAGAATTATTTTATTGTTTTATTTTTATTATTTTATTATTTCCCTTCTATCTGACTTTACCGAAAGAACCAAGAAGATGAATTCCTGCAGTCACGAAAGCTTTAAATAGGCTATCAAGTTATTCAACTTGCAACCTTCCAATTGTGAGCCACTTGCTCTACTGCCGAGCCATCGGGCTAGATAAATGTAAATTCTTGTCCTCTGTGGAGTCCGAGGTCACGGACCGGCATCGGAGGATCTGCTGTGCCCGATTGTCGTCATGAGGACCCGGGTGAGACGGCAGGTCCAGCGTCAGTATGGTCCTGACCAAGCGGTCAAACTCGGGGAGGCTCAGGAAGAAGAGCGACGACGCCCTGGTGCCCTGCATGACCTCCGAGATGCCCCGCTGCCCTTGCTTACACACGGCTGGCTCTCTGCAATATATAAAAATAAAACAAATCACGAGAGTAAATATTTCAGGTTATGTAATTTTGTTACCGCCTCCCAATACATTAGATGGAAGTGGCCAAAGATCCTGATGACAGGACCCATTCCATAAATTGTTTGCACACATCCCTAATGCAGCACTGGTGGAGGAGTGGGTTGGTGGTTATCATACATTTGAAGCTTTCGTGACTGCAAGGATTCATATTCTTAGGTTTTTTCGGTAAAGTCACGTGGGTAAAAAAATAAAATTAATAAAAGTAAAATAAAATAAAAATCACGACGTTTCGGAGGCAACACAAGCTTCCGTCTTCAGGTGGAACCGTCACAGCACGATAGCTGTATCAAGTGAGAGAAATTCCAAGAAACAGTATTTGTATATATACTGGTTGAGGGTGGGAGGAGCCAAGGTAGGCCCTGAATATTATTTTTGTGAGGTTCGGTGCGGCTGAAGCACGCTGTTAGGAATAAGCCTTTGTTGTGTAAACTAGGTGCGGATGATGTAAAGGTGCGTTTATTTTTATTTTACTTTTATTAATTTTAATGTTTTACTTATGTGACTTTACCAAAAAAAAACTAAGAATATGGTTATCATACATTCGTGAAGCTCCCTCGCTATTAATCGATGTCGATGTCCCATCACCTTGCTTGCCAGCCTGATAGCAGTACAGAAAGTGGATTTATGAGGGCATTTGTGTTTGTGCTGTTCGCCTATTGGCGTTCTCTGGTCTAACACTGTTTGAGACTAGGCTCTAAAGAAAGCTGTCTCTGGTGCGGACCAATCAGTTTCAAAGACAATGCCATATATTACCAGAGCATGTTTTTGTTTGCATGTTTACCACAAGTATGTGTGGTTAATGCTGACAGGATTCCTTGCAATAGGTTTATGTTTGGTGTTTTAACATCTTAACACAACTGTTTTATTGCCAGAAAGGGTAAAAAAACAATTCTTCTAACTCATTGATGGAAATGGACATCTGTGAAAAAGAGCTTCATAGCTCATCGGATTCCTCCAGTCGCAATAAATATTTTGATTCTGAATTGGCCAAACATCCCAAAAAAAAGGACCAGAGGTTGGGGAATTGTTGGCGGTGGTTTTGCCTGCCTTACTACCACTTGTCTGCGATTTTCTGCCCCTCAGAATCATTTTCTCTCTCTGAAAGCGAAAGAAAACAGTGCACAGCTACAAATTCTGCATGATTTGGTTATAAAAATCAGCCTTAATTTAGCACATGGATGGGAACACAAATCAGAGACATTATAGTGTGCAAATAATTATGGAGGGGATGCACGGTTTGTCATAATTTTACAATTAACACAAGGATGTATATTTCTATGGAAGGAGGATATGTGGTGGTTAGCTTAGGGCAGTGCAACAAAATCAATTGTTGTGCGACCCCCAATTAGCTAACCCGAAACATGTTTTTTATCCTTTGCATATTTATTTGTTTTAAATAAACCTTACTTTTAAAAATTACGTTTAGAAAATTAAATAGGGGTCACAAGACATCTGGACCACCCTGTAATTAATTATCGGCACTCAACAAACTCGCATTGACCAACGTGGTGAAGTATGGTCATGCCCCCCCGTACGTACAGCAGTGGATTTGTCAAATGAGCAGTGCTGGATAGGCACAAACGCATACGGGAATATAAATACTCTTAGGTTTTTTCGGTAAATTTAGCTGACGTTTCCCACCTGATGACGGAGACTTGTGTTGCCTCCGAAACGTCGTGATTTTTTATTTTATTTCTATTATTATTTATATTATTTGATTTTTTTTATTTTTACCTACGTGACTTTACCGAAAAAACCTAAGAGTATGAATCCTTGCAGTCACGAAAGCTTCAAATCTAGAAGGGAATGTAAATGTCAAGTCGGTGGTGGAAATTCCACATTCCTATGACATTAATCAGTGGTACTATCCACAGTCGTACTAATTTTATATATACCCACGATGGATAATGGGCTGAGTCGGTTTGGAATACAGTTATTATTTATACAGGTACTATTGCATGATGTTCATATTAAATGTAATGACCACACATTTTACACGTCAAAGTTGTACAAAAGTTACATTTAGCGTTCATTAAAATAAAGTTAATTCAATTTAAAAAAACATTGAAAGATGTTACTCGTAATATTGTTTATATTTTGCAAACTGATAGATGAATCATGCGAGTAACGTTGTAATTCTCTGTTTAAGTTTTAATCACAGTTTACCTCACGATTATAAACGGTAACCCGCAACGGCACCGTACGCATCGATTAAACGATTCTTGTGTCGAACAATGTATCGATTCTTATCGCAGCTTATAATGCATTAATCGAAAACGAGGATTCGTTATTAGCCGATTAAGATGAATCGATTCCCTAGGAAAGGCGCGGGATCACCCCCCCCCCCCCCCCACGGGGGCTCGGGTCACGTGACACTTTACAATGAGGAGCGGTGGCGCAGTGATTAGCGCACCGCGCTCTCACCAACACGGCCACCCAAATGAGATTCACGGCCAAGGGGCCGTCCATAAATGACGTCACGCGATTATGGACGATTTTTGACCCCCCCCCTTCGTCATGGCGTCACAAAAAGTCAGACCCCCCTCACATATGACGTCACAAAGCTCTGCCCCCCCCCCCCCCCCAAAATAAAACATGCTTCAAATCGATGTAAACTATTGTCATTGTAGTGCGTATTTAATGTGGCACTGCCACATTAAGGAGAAAACATTTTTGTTCAAATTTTCTTGCTGTGGATTTCACACCTGATGATGATTGCTTGTGTTGCAGACGAAGCGTCGTGAGAATTTTTATTGTTTTATATTTTTATTATTTTAACAGGACCCTGCGGGGTGGGCTGGTAGGAACGAATAACCAAAGAATATAAATATAATGTATTATTACACTTGTATAGCCAGGAAAGCCCCACTGAGTCTAAAGGATTTTGTAGGGTCCTGCCAAGTGTTTGCAGTAGGGGGCGATGTTGCTACACCTAATCGGACGATACGAAGGGAGAGTTTGAAGCCTACTTCTAGGCTTTAGGCCTAGCTGTAGGCTTTAGGCCGCTGTGAGTTAATTTGTAATTTAAATGTTTTAATTATTAATGTAAAAGCTTTAAATTTAAATGTTTCTATTTAAAAACATCAGGGAATGTAACATTGTTAAACATTAACTCCCTTTCACACACGCGGGGGTACGATACGAAGGGAGAGTTTGAGGCCTAGTTCTAGGCTTTAGGCCTAGCTGTAGGCTTTAGGCTGCTGTGAGTTAATTTTTAATTTAAATGTTTAAATTATTTACGTAAAAGCTTTCAATTTTAATGTTTCTATTTAAAAACATAAGGGAATGTAACATTGTTAAACATTAACTCTCTTTCACACACGCGGGGGTACGATACGAAGGGAGAGTTTGAGGCCTAGTTCTAGGCTTTAGGCCTAGCTGTAGGCTTTAGGCCGCTGTGAGTTAATTTTTAATTTAAATGTTTAAATTATTTATGTAAAAGCTTTCAATTTAAATGTTTCTATTTAAAAACATCAGGGAATGTAACATTGTTAAACATTAACTCCCTTTCACACATGCGGGTGTACGATACGAAGGGAGAGTTTGAGGCCTAGTTCTAGGCTTTAGGCCTAGCTGTAGGCTTTAGGCCGCTGCGAGTGAATTTTTTATTTAAATGTTTTAATTAAAACCTATCTCAGGGAATAATAAGGGAATGTTACACTTGTTTAGCCAGGAAAGCCTCACTGAGTCTAAAGGTTTTTGTAGGGTCCTGCCAAGTGTTTGCAGTAGGGGGCGATGTTGCTACACGTAATCGGACATCGGACCGACGGACGATATAATCTATAGTAGGCTGGTTCACTTCGTTCCTACCAGTACAGTGATACCTCGGTTCATGAACGCTTCTGTTCACGAACAACTCGGTTCACGAACAGAAAAGTTCATAAAAATATGCTCCGGTTCACGAACTCCGCTTCGGTTCACGAACAGGAGCCACGGCCATTTTAATGCTATTTCCAGGCTGTCACATGGTCGTGACTTCCTGTAGGAAGATCGTGGAGAGAAGAAGAGACACAGAAAGAAGTACTGTGAGTACTGTGAAGACACTTTCAGTGACTTTTTGCTTTTTGGTGTGCTTTTTAGCACATACAGTACTGTACTGTACTACTGTACTGTACAATACTGTACTTACTGTATTGTACAGTTCACCCGTTTGAGTGCTTACTGAAGTCATCTCAAGCAAGGTTAGTGTTCTCTCTTTATACATTACTATACTGTACAGTACTAATGTGTATTGTAATTTGTTTCATATTTTTGTGCTTCAAAACCAAAAAAAAGGTCAGAACGGATTAACCGTATTTACATTGAACCCTATGGGAAAATGTGCCTCGGTTCACGACCAATTCGGTTCGCGACCAGAGTCAGTTCACGAATTAAGTTCGTGAACCGAGGTATCACTGTATTATTTCCCTTCTACGTGACTTTACCGAAAGAACCAATAATATGAGAAAACATTTATTAAAAGTCGATTTAATTAAGTAGAACGTGTTGTCTATATGTATTTAAAGTTGCGCATTTTTATGTGACGTCACATTTCTCAAACCCCCCCCCCCCCCCCTTGTCACACATCGTCACAAATGTCTGACCCCCACCCCCCTAGGTGCGTGACGTCATTTATGGACGGCCCCTAACGTATCACCTGTCATACTGCACCAACTTATCCAATCGATTACGCTTACTCATCGGATGACCACGCAACGCAGCAAAACCAATCCAATCCGTCACATTTAATGAACTGACCGCAGCTGGAGCAGTCGGTTATTATGTTATGGTCCATTTAGGTGTTAAGTCGATTTATCTTCCACAGCTTGATTACACGTGACCGCGTTGCTGGGTAGTGATACAGTCATTTTGCTGTGACGGTTCCACCTGAAGACGGAAGCTTGTGTTGCCTCCGAAACGTCGTGATTTAATTTATTGAATTTTTTACCTACGTGACTTTACCGAAAAAAACATAGTGTTATTGTCTAATTGCTTATGCCTCAAAAGTAAAAAAAAAAAGCTATTATTCCCTACAAACTTTGCTTTTGTGATCAAGACACACACGCAAAGTTAGTAATCCACTGCATTCATAACACTGTGTAACAAATATATTTATTTCTTTTTCCTGGGTAGTGTTATTTTCTAATTGCTTTTGCCTCAAACGTGTAGAAAATTTCTATTATTCCCCACAAACTTTTCTTTTTTGACCAGGACAGTGACATTTTTAAATGTACCTATATTCAAAGAGAAAACGTGAGCATTTGTGTCATTGCTTCACAAAGTCCTGGTCACAAAAGCAAAGTTTGTGGGGAATAATAGCCATTTTCTACACTTTTGAGGCATAAGCAATTAGAAAACAACACTTACTACCCAGGAACAAAAATTGTGTTACATCGTGAATTATCCACCTCCACGTGCGTTTAACATTAAACTCAACACGCTCATCAATAACACTCCGTGTGTGGTCTTAAAAGGAGAAAAAATATATAGAATAGGCGACGTTTCGGGCAATGGCCCTTCATCGCAGATAAATAGGCCAGATGGAGTGGATGATGGTAAGCGTTGGAGGCTGCACTTTGTTAACATCACGGGGTCCTAATGAGAATGGCATTGATAATTGGTTTTTTACCCTTCTATCTGGCAACAAAACTTACACCTTTTTACACATGTTTGCATAGACCGCAATACCTGCAGTCATAATACAAACAAAAGACATAACTCTGATAATGTATGCACTGTCCTTGAAGTTGATTAGTCCACACCCGAGACAGCTTTCCTTAGAGCCTAGTCTCACATGGGTTGGACCAGATGACGCCAAAACGGTGTCAGTTTTGTTGCCAGATAGAAGGGTAAAAAACCAATTATCATATTTTTACTGGCAAATGAGGTCCCCATGGTGAGAATGACATTGTCAAACTGTTTCCCGACAAACAGTTTGTTAAATATCCACATATTTACATAATTATTAGTAGCTATTGAGTAAGGCGAACCTGTTACTAAGTAAACACATTTTTGTATTGGTAAATTACTATACTACGAGAGAAACTCACTAAAACTGTCTCATCATATATGTGCTACGAGGAAGGGCCATTGTCCGAAACGTCGCCTGTCCAGTGTTGCCCTTTAAATGCCGATGCACGTGATTGATTCAGTATAATCACGTGACATAGAGTCACGTGGAGGGTGGCGGTTGCAAATAAAGCCATCTTACCACGGGACCGCGGCAACGTCACAGCGATCCGCTTCCGCCATCTTACCACGGGAGGGGGGGGACCGCGGCAACGTTACAGCGATCCGCTTCCGCCATCTTACCACGGGGGGGGGGGGGGACCGCGGCAACGTTACAGCGATCCGCTTCCGCCATCTTACCACGGGGGGGGAACTGCGGCAACGTCACAACGATCCGCTTCCGCCATCTTACCACGGGGGGAGAACCGCGGAAACGTCACAGCCGATTCGCTTCCACCATCTTACCACGGGGGGGGGGGGGGGGGACCGCGGCAACGTTACAGCGATTCATCTCCGCCATCTTACTACGGGGAACGCCCTGACGTCTTCGGGAGATTCCCCCCCCGCCGCCGCCTTGAACGGCTGGCGGCCATATTGGGTGAGGTAGAGGGGGGGGGCCCGGCGTCCAATCCCGCGCGCTCTCGCCCAACGTCAACAGCCCCGGATCGAAGAGCACGTGACGTGAGGGGGGGGGGGATGTGTCTCGACCAATCGCGTGCCGCCGCAGTGTGGAAGGGATTGAGAAGTCGCCCCCCCCGCCCCCCCCATCACGGAGTCGACCGCCGCCCCCCGCAAACCGCCCGGGTCCTGCCGGGGGTCTCCCCTCGTCCACCCCTCGTCCACCACCTTGTCCACCACCACCGCCGCTTCTGTCTCTAGGCCATGGCGGACCGCAAGATCAACGAGGCGCTGGAGCATCTGGCGAGCGCGGAGAAGTGGTGCGGAGGGAGGGAGGGTGACTGAGTCACCCGCGTGTGACTGGCGGTGACTGATCCTGTGGAGCCGATAGTGACTGAGCCTGACTGTCGGTGTCTGTCCGTGTGTGACTGTCAGTGACTGTCAGTGACTGTCGGTGTGTGACTGTCAGTGACGCTGTCTGTGTGACTGACAGTGGCTGATCTTGTGGAAGCGATAGTGA